AAAGTCTCACTCTGTCACCAGGCTGGAGGGCAGTGGCGTCATCTTGGTTCACTGCAACCTCCGCCTCCCAGGTTCAAGTGATCCTCCGGCCTCAGCTTTCTGAGTAGCTGGGATTACAGGCACCTACCACCATACCTGGCTAATTTTTGTATTTTTAGTAGAGCTGGGGTCTCACCACGTTGAACAGGCTGGTCTCGAACTCCTGATCTCCCCGGCTCGGTCTCCCAAAGTGCAGGAATTACAGACATAAGCCACCTTGCGTGGCCTATTTTTTATTTTTTAAGACAGAGTCTCTAGGCCGGGCGCGGTGGCTCAAGCCTGTAATCCCAGCACTTTGGGAGGCCGAGGCGGGTGGATCACGAGGTCAAGAGATCGAGACCATCCTGGTCAACATGGTGAAACCCCGTCTCTACTAAAAATACTAAAAATTAGCTGGGCATGGTGGAGCGTGCCTGTAATCCCAGCTACTCAGGAGGCTGAGGCAGGAGAATTGCCTGAACCCAGGAGGCGGAGGTTGCGGTGAGCCGAGATCGCGCCATTGCACTCCAGCCTGGGTAACAAGAGCGAAACTCCGTCTCAAAAAAAAAAAAAAAAAAAAAAAAAGACAGAGTCTCCCTGTGTCACCCAGGCTGGAATGCACTCGCTCAATCCTGGCTCACTGCAGCCTCCACCTCAGGTTCAAGCGATTCTTCTGCCTCAGCCTCCCAAGTAACTGAGATTCCGGGCTTACACCACCACACCTAGCTGATTTTTTGTAGTTTTGGTAGGGACAGGGTTTCATCTTGTTGTCCAGGCCGGTCTTGAACTCCTGACCTCAGGTAATCCACCTCCCTCGGCCTCCGAAAGTGCTGGGATTACAGGTGTGAGCCACTGCGCCCAGTCTGACATTCCCATTTGAAGACATACATTGATTGGGCGAGGTGGCTCACAGCTTTAATCCCAGCACTTTTGGAGGCTGAGGCAGGCAGATCACCTGAGGTCGGGAGTCCGAGACCAGCCTGGCCAATATGGTAAAACCCAGTCTGTACAAAAACAAACACAAAAAATAACATTAGTCTTGAAACACCTGCTGTCTTCTGGGAAAGGTGCTGTTCCCAGAGATGACCACAAGGCGGCGGCAGTGGTACCCGTTCCCACAGTCCCGGGGCTAGTTGCTTATTTTACACTATCGGGAGCTGGGGAAAGACCCTAAGAACCCAGGCGCCTCCCAGAGACTCTGCAAGCGTTTGGGGAAAGAGTAGCTTCAAGTCATTAGGAATCTGCCTTTGTGTCCTTGGGTCGGGGATGTCTCATATGGAAAGCAGACGGGGTGAAGTTGTTTGCTGAAGGCTGGGTAATGTTGCGTGATCAGGACGGTAGGGACAGTCCCACTGTCCCCAAAGTGAGAAGTTTATTTTAATGTTTATTTATTTATTTATGAGACACAGTCTCACTCTGTCGCCAGGCTGTACTGCAGTGGCTCAATCTTGGCTCACTACAGCCTCCCAGGTTCAATCAATTCTCCTGCCTCAGCCTCCCACGTAACTGAGATTACTGGCTCAACCCACCACAGCTGACTGATTTTTTGTGGTTTTGGTAGAGACAGGGTTTCGCCGTGGGTCTCGTACTCTTAACCTCAGGTGATCCGCCTCCCTCCGCCTCCCTAAGTGCTGGGATTACAGCTGTGAGCCACTACACCCAGCCTGACATTTTCATTTGAATCATTTATTGGGTGGGCGAGGTGGCTCACACCTGTAATCCCAGCACTTTGGGAGGCTGAGGCAGGCCGATCGCCTGACGTCGGGAGTTTGAGACCAGTCCGTCTCTACAAAATGAAACAAAAAAGACATTGGTCTTGAAACACCTGCTGTCTTCAGGGAAAGGCGCTGTTCCCAGAGATGACCACAAGGCGGCGGCAGTGGTACCTGTTCCCACAGACCCGTGGGCGGTTGCTTATTTTACGCTATTTGGAACTGGGCTAAGACCCTCAGAACCCAGGCGCCTCCCAGATACTCTGCAGCGTTTGGGGAAAGGGTAGCTTCAAGTTACTAGGAACATGCCTCTGTGTCCTTGGCTCAGGGATGTCTCATGTGGAAAGTGGATAGGGTGACGCTGTTGGCTCAAGGTTAGGTAAAGTTGTGGGGTCAGGACTGTAGGAACAGTCCCACTGTCCCCAAAGTGAATAGTTTATTTGAATATTTATTTATTTATGAAACAGAGTCTGACTCTGTCGCCAGGCTGGAGGGCAGTGGTGTTCACTGCAACCTCGGCCTTCCAGGTTCAAGGGATCCTCCTGCCTGAGCTTCCCGAGTAGCTGGGATTACAGGCACCTGCCACCATGCCTGGCTAATTTTTGTATTTTAGTAGAGCTGGGATTTCAGCACTTTGGCCAGGCTGGTCTAGAACTCCTGACCGCAGGTGATCAGCCCGCCTCAGCCTCCCAAAGTGCAGGAATTACAGGCATGAGCCACCTATCATGGCCTATTTTTTTTAAATTGTTTTTTGAAATAGAGGCTCCCTGTGTCACCCAGAGTACAGTGGCTCACTGTTGGCTCACTGCAGCCTCCACCTCCCAGGTTCAAGCGATTCTGCTGCCTCAGCCTCCCAAGTAACTGAGATTATGGGCACACACTACCACACGTGGATGATTTTTTGTAGTTTTTGTAGAAACAAGGTTTCACCGTGTTGGCCAGGCGGGTCTCGAACTCCTGACCTCAGGTGGTCAGCCTCCCTCGGCCTCCCAAAGCTCTGGGATTACAGGTGTGAGCCACTGCGCCCATCCTGACATTTCCATTTGAAGACATTTATAGTGTGAGCGTGGTGGCACACACCTGTAATCCCAGCACTTTGGGAGGCTGATATGGGTGGATCACCTGAGGTCAGGAGTGTGAGAGCAGTCTGGCCAACATGGTGAAACCTGGGCTCTACTAAAAATACAAATATTAGCTGCGTGTGGTCACGCTTGTAATCCCAGCCACTCGGGAGGCTGAGGCAGATGAATCCCTTGATCCTGGGCGGTGGAGGTGGCAGTGAGCTGAGATTTTCCCACTGCACTCTGGCCTGGGCGACAAGAGCAAAACTCAGTTTCAAAAAACAAACAGCTGGACGCCGTGGCTCACGTCTGTAATCCCAGCACTTTGGGAGGCTGAGGCAGGCAGGTCACCTGAGGTTGGGAGTTGGAGACCAGCCTGGCCAATATGGGAAAACCTCATCTCTACAAAAACAAACACTTTCCACTTCAGGGAAAGGTGCTGTTCCCAGAGATGACCACAAGGCGGCGGCAGTGGTACAGGTTCCCACGGTCCGGGGAGGTGGTTGCTCATTTTACACTATTGGGATCTGGGAAAAGACCCTCAGAACCAAGTCGCCTCCCAGAGACTCTGCAAGCGTTTGGGGAAAGGATAGCTTCAAGTCATTAGGAATATGTCTTAGGGTCCTTGGGTCAGGGATGTCTCATATGGAAAGTGGGTGTGATGAAGTTGTTGGCTCAAGGTTGGGTAAAGTTGTGTGGTCAGGACAGAAGGGACAGTTTCGCTGTCCCCAAAGTGAACAGTTTATTTTAACATTTATTTATTTATGAGACCGAGTCTCCCTGTGTCACCCAGGCTGGAGGGCAGTGGTGTGATCTCCGTTTGCTGCAGCCTCCAACTCCCAGGTTCAAGCAATTCTCGTGCCTCAGCCTCACAAGTAACAGATTATGAACGCACACTACTACACCTGGCTGACTTTTTGTAGTTTTGGTAGAGACAGGATTTCACCGTGTTGTCTAGGCCCGTCTTGAAGTGCTGACCTCAGGTGATCAGCCTCCCTCGGCCTCTGAAAGTGCTGGAATTACAGGTGTGAACCACTGCGCCCAGCCTGACATTCCCATTTGAAGACATTTATTGGTTGGGCAGGTGGCTCACACCTGTAATCACAGCACTTTTGGAGGCTGAGGCAGGCATATCACGTGAGGTTGGGAGTTCTAGACCAGTCTGGCCAATGTGGCAAAACCCCATCTCTACAAAAACAAACAAACAAACAAGATACTAGTTTGTCTTGAAACACCAGCTTTCAGGGAAAGGTGCTGTTCCCAGAGATGACCACAAGGCGGCGGCAGTGGTACCCGTTCCCACAGTCCGGGGGCTGGTTGCTTATTTTACACTATTGGGAGCTGGGGAAAGACCCTCAGAACCCGGGCGCCTCCCAGAGACTCTGCAAGCGTTTGGGGAAAGAGTAGCTTTCAGTGATTAGGAATCTGCCTCTGTGTCCTTGGCTCAGGGATGTCTCATATGGAAAGCGAGTCGGGTGAAGTTGTTGGCTGAAGGTTAGGTAAAGTTGTGTTGTTTGTAGGGACAGTCCCGCTGTCCCCAACGTGAAGAGTTTATTTTGGTATTTATGTATTTTGTTTTGAGACAGTCTCATTCCGTCTCCAGGCTGGAGGGCGGTGGCGTCATTTTGGTTCACTGAAAGCTCCGCCTTCCAGTTTCAAGGGATCCTCCTGCCTCGGCTTCCCGAGTCGCAGGGATTACAGGCACCTACCACCATACCTGTCTAATTTTTGTATTTTTAGTAGAGCTGGGGTTTCAGTACGTTGGCCAGGCTGTTCTGGAACTTCTGACCTCAGGCGATCCGCCCGCCTCGGCCTCCCAAAGTGCAGGAATTGCAGGCATTAGCCACCTCGAGTGGCCTCATTTTTATTTTTTGAGACGGAGTCTCCCTGTGTCACCCCAGCTGGAGCGCAGTGGCTTAATGTTGGCTCACTGCTGCCTCCACTTCCCAGGTTCAAGCAATTCTCCTGCCTCAGCCTCCCAAGTAACTGAGATGACGAGCGAACACCAGCACACCTGGCTGATTTTTTTTGTAGTTTTGGCATGGACAGGGTTTCACCGGGTTGCCCAGACCCGTCTTTCACTCCTGACCTCAGGTGACCCTCCTCCCTCGTCCTCGAAAAGTGCTGTGATTACAGGGGAAAGCCATGGAGCCCGGATTCCAAGTCTGGACTTTTGGCCTTACCGCCCCCTCCCCATTTTGCTTGGCAGTATGAGGAGCGAGCGCTGAAAAAAATCCGCCGGAAAATCCGGAACAAGCAGTCCGCCCAAGAAAGCAGGAAGAAGAAGAAGGAATATATCGACGGCTTGGAGACTCGGTGAGTAGTGCCGGGCCCGGACTCCACACTAGGGGCAGAAACTGAGGCCCAGAGAGAGGGAGACATGGCTCAGGCCGCATGTCTTAGAGTCTGACAAAATTGGAGGTGGTTTTTCTCTCTAGGAGACATCATGCTTCGTACTGATGGCGGGGATGGAAAGACACAGGAGATGGTGTAGGACAAGGGTTTGGGAACCCAGTGCCCCCTGGAAAGTGTGCGGAGAAAGGACAAAGTGTGACCCATCCAATTCTGACCCTCTGCACTGACCCTCTGTCTGAAGACAGACACTTCCTTCGTGTGTGTGTGTATGAGTGGGCGCGCATGGGAGGGTCTCTGTCACCCAGGCTGGAGTGTTGTGGCACAATGTCGGCTCACTGCAACCTCTGCCTCACGGGTTCAAGTGATTCTCCCGCTTCTGCCTCTCCAGTAGATGGTACTACAGGCGCCTGCCACCACACTTAGCTAATTTTTTTTTTTGTATTTTTGGTAGAGGCGGGGTTTCACCATGTTGTCCAGGCTGGTCTCAAACTCCTGACCAGGCTGGTCAGGTCAAACTCCTGACCTTAGGTGATCTGCCCACCTCGGCTTCCCAAAGTGCTGGGATTACAGGCGTGAGCCACCATGCCCAGTCTGTCCTCCCTCCCTCCCTTCCCTTTTGAGACAGAGTTAGCTCTGTCACCCAGGCTAGAGTACAGTGGCACAATCTCGACTCACTGCAACCTCTGCCTTCCAGGTTCAAGCAATTCTCTTGCCTCAGCCTCCTGAGTAGCTGAGATTACAGGCACCTGCCAACATACCTGGCTAATTTTTGTTCTTTTAGTAGAGATGGGGTTTCGCTGTGTTGGCCAGGGTGGTTTCGAAAAACTCACCTCAGGTGATCCACCTGCCTCGCTCTCCCAAGGTGCTGGGATTACAGGCATGGACCACCATTCCCAGCTAGCTGTCCTCTTTCTTAATGCGATCTGCTCAGCTCCTGATCATCTTCATCCAGGGTCATTCTCTCCCCACCTCCTGGGTAATTGTATCCTATTTTACTGACAGGAAGACTAAGGTTGGAGAGTGAAGTGGCTGGGCCAAAGGTCATGGGCAGGGGGAGGGTTGTAACTTGGATTTCCCAGGATGCCTGGGTGTCCTGACATTTCATTTTCTGGAAATGTCACTGACTGTATTTGGCATTCCATTCCTGATCCAGGGGATTCAGCTTCTTTTCTTTTTTCTTTTCTTTTGACACAGTGTTTCATTCTTATTGCCCAGGCTGGAATGCAATGGCTAATCTCAGCTCACTGCAACCTCTGCTTGCCGGGTTCAAGCAATTATCTGGCCTCAGCCTTCCCAGTAGATGGAATTACAGACATGCACCACCATGCCCCACTAATTTTTTTTTTTTTTTTTTGAGATGGAGTCTTGCTCTGTGGCCAGCCTTGAGTGCAGCGGTGTGATCTCAGCTCACTGCAAATTCCGCCTCCCAGGTTCAAATGATTCATGTGCCTCAGCCTCCACAGTAGCTGGGGTTACCAGGCACCCACCACCATGCCTGGCTAATTTTTTTTTCTGTATTTTTTTAGTAGAGATGAGGTTTCACCCTGTTGGCCAGGATGGTCGTGCTCTCCTGACCTCGTGACCTGCCCGTCTTGGCCTCCCGAAATGTGGGGACAACAGATGTGACCACCGAGCTGGCCTTTTTATTTTTGAGATGGAGTTTTGCTCTGTCGCCTAGGCTGGAGTGCAGTTGCGCAATCTCTGCTCACTGCAACCTCCGCCTCCTGGGTTTAAGCAACTCTCCTGCCTAGGCTTCCTGAGTAGCTGGGATTGCAGGCCTGTGCCACTACACCCAGCTAATTTTTGTTTGTTTGTATTTGTAGTAGAAACAGAGTTTCACTATATTGGTTAGGCTGATCTTGAACTCCTGACCTTGTGATGTGCCTGCCTTGGGCTCCCAAAGTGCTGGGATTATGGGCATGAACCACCTCGCCCGGCCAGGGGGTTCAACTTTGAATGAGCATTAATGAACATTAAAGCAGAGATGAAACTTAGGAACCAGGCAGATGTGGGTTCAAATCCCGGCCCCGTCTGACATGCAGAGTAACCTTGGATGAACGACATCCCCTCTCTGGCCTTGTGTTCCTTGCTAGTAATGTGAGGCCTCCCCAGGAGAGGTCAATGGGGCCAGCTGGTGACTGGTGTGTTCTGAATGTCACTGTATCTTTGTCCTTTCAGGATGTCAGCTTGCACTGCTCAGAATCAGGAGTTACAGAGGAAGGTCTTGCATCTTGAGAAGCAAAATCTGTGAGTCTGGGTTCCTTCAGGGCAGAGGACAGTGAAGCAATCCCAGAGTCCCTTGCGGGAAGAGCAAAGAGCCTACCTGATGGCGGAGTGAAGTAGGGAATGAGTTCCATCTATGAACCAGGCGCAGTGGTTCACGCCTGTCATCCCAGCACTTTGGGAGGCCAAGGAGGGCGAATCCCCTGAGGTCAGGAGTTTGAAACCAGCCTGGCCTACATGGTGAAACCCTGTCTCTACTAAAAATACAAAAATTAGCTGGGCATGGTGACACGTGCCTATAATCCTAGCTATAGTCACTGGTGAGGCTGAGGCAGGAGAATCTCTTGAACCAGCGAGACAGAGATTGTGCCACTGCACTCCAGCCTGGGCAGCAGAGCAAGACTGTGTCTCAAAAATAAATAAATAAATAAAAATAGAGTAGGAGGCCCTTGAAGGATGGATGGAATTTGGACTTTAGTGGGGCTGGGGGATCCCAGAAGTGGACGAGAAGCAGGACTGAGGCCCTGTAGGGCTTAGCACTGGCCTGCCTGTCCCTCTAAGGTCCCTCTTGGAGCAGCTGAAGAAACTCCAGGCCATCGTGGTGCAGTCCACCAGCAAGTCAGCCCAGACAGGGACCTGTGTTGCGGTGAGTCCTGGCACCCCCAGGAAAGCTGGGGACCTAGGCTTTGGCAGACATGCCCATGGGGAGGTGACAGTGTGTCCAAGCTCCCCTCATGTCCCAGCTCAAGGATGAACCAGTCTTGTCTTTGGGGCCTCAGTCTCCCTGCGTGTGGGATGAAGGTGCTTGCAGGGGACAGTAGGGAGGGGGTGACCCTGCTGCTGTCTCCCCCAGGTCCTGCTACTGTCCTTCGCCCTCATCATCCTCCCCTCCATCAGCCCTTTTGCCTCCAACAAAGCCAAGAGCCCTGGGGACTTTGCGCCTGTGCGAGGTAGGGGATCCCTGCCTTTGAAACCTTTGTCTGGGCTCCCCAAGTCCCCATCTGGGGCCTCTGGGTAGGGGGAGAAGACCCCTGTTCCCCATTCCCTGAGGCTGAGGCCAGGGAAGGGAGCGCAGGACTGCACCTTTGCCTTGCCTCCTATGACACACTCCTTCCCCAATCAGTCTTCTCCAGAACTTTGCACAATGATGCTGCCTCCCGCGTGGCCCCTGATGCTCTGCTGGGCTCTGAGGCCCCTGGACCCCGACCTGAGGCTGACAAACCCAAAGAAGGGTCTCCAGGCAGCCCCAGGGCAGCCTGGGGCTTCCGGGACACCGCGGACCTGACCAATTCGATGGAGGAGCTGGACAATGCCAGCCTGGTCCTGAGGAACAAGACGGAGGGGCTGGGCGAGGTCGCCCTGCTAGACTGGGTGGCACCCGGGCCAAGCACTGGCTCCGGACGTGCAGGGCTGGAGGCGGCGGGGGATGAGCTGTGAGCTCCATCAGGACTGTGCTCCCAGGCCCCTCTGACCAGAGGCGCCTTGGGGGTGCTGTACTGGACGGCGACCCACCTGGGGATGGGAAGTGAGGCAGAGATCCTGTCAGACATGCCAGGATGGGGAGACACAGCTCATAGCCACACACCCAGAGCCTGACTGAGGCCCACGCAGGAACTGACACTCAGACACGGACAAAGAGAGGGCCATGGGGCCCAGGAAATACACACAGAGCCAGACGCCGAAGCAATGAGCAGACACACAGCCTGAAAAAGACCTGGACAGACAGACAGACACTGCCTGAAACAGACACAGACAGACAGACACAGCCTGAAACAAACCCACACAGGCAGAGAGACAGACAGCCTGAAGCAGATGTGGAAGAACAGACAGACATAGCCTGAAACAGACCAGCACAGACAGACAGACAGATAGCCTGAAACTGATGTGGACAGACAGACAGACACAGCCTGTAACAAACCAGCACAGACAGACAGACAGACAGCCTGAAACGGGTATGGACAGACAGGACACAGCCTGAAACAGACCCAGACAGACAGACAGACGCAGCCTGAAATAGATCCGGACAGACAGACAGATGCCCAGCAACTCCCCCCCAGGGATCCCCCCGGGCCTCCCTCGCACACTGGGAGGAGGAAGCCGCCGAGACTGCAGGGACCCTGGCTCCGGAGCCCCGGGTACGCCCTGGTCTTCGGAGCAGCCAAGGCTCACCATCACCCACCTTTTCTAAGACTGCCCAATTCAAAATAAAATATTTTGACAGAACCTTGTTTTGGGGTAGAGGCGGAGTCTGGGGGCTCCGCCACTCCCTAGAATGAGGGGTTGGGCCAGCCTGGGATAGGGGAGTGAGATGTGGGCTCCACGCCCCTGCCAGATCCCTGCGCTGGAGCAGCAGCGGGAGAGGCGCCGGGCGTGGCTTCAGCACCTTGGAGAGCGGCAGTGGGCCAAGCGCCGGGAGCCCGGGACGCGCTTTCAGGGTGTGTGCGCCTGGCTTGCGGGGAAGGCAGCTGCCTTCCTGGGGATCTGGGCGGCCCACCCTGCTCGTTTTGCCGGTCAGGATACGGAGGTTTCAGGGAGGGACTACCCAAGGTCACAGCTGGGGAGGGTGGAACCTGGCTGCGCCTGCGCCCTTCTGTGGCATTGCCCCCACTGTGGGCTGTGCGTGACAAAGGACAGAAAGGGGCTCAGAGCCTGGGGCAAATGTGAAACAAGAAAACGCCGCTCGTAAGTGCATAACTACAGACTGGGTGCTCAGAAAATGCCAGCTGCCATGTCGACTTCATCAGAAAACTGGCCTGATCCCTCCAGAGGCGGGGTTGGGGGAGAGGGAAGCCCTTGTTCCCCACCCTGGGCTTGAGGGGCAGGGATTGCAACGGAGCACAGGCAGAGGGTCCAGGGAGGAGGGGACCACGAACTCCTGACCCAGGAGGGCGAGGACCTACCACAAATTTGGAATTTATTTATTTATTTTTTTAAAAAACTGGGTTTCACCATGTTGGTCAGGCTGGTCTTGAACTCGCTCGACCTCAGGTGATCCACCTGCCTTGGCCTCCAAAGTGCTTGGATTACAGGCATGAGCCACCACGCCCGGCCAAATTTGGAATTTAAACACTTACTGGATGCCTGTAAGTCCAGCACTTTGGGATGTGGAGGCGGCTTGACTGCTTGAGCCCAGGAGTTCAAGACCAGCATGGGCCACATAGTGAGACCCTGTCTCTACAAAAATGCAAACAATTAGCTAGCTGTGGTGGCAAACACCTATAAACCCAGCTACTTGGGAGGCTGAGGCAGGAGAATCCCAGGAGGTGAAGGCTGTAGTGAACTGAGATCACACCACTGCATTCCAGCCTTGGTGACAGAGCAAGGCTCCAGCTCAAAAAAATAATGATTCTGAGACGCAAGAAGGAAGTTCTGTTTTTATTGCATTGAAGACTTTTCCAGAAGCCTGGTGGACCCATGTCTCCCTCTCTCCAGCTCCAAAGGCAGTACCAGCCTCTGCTGTGTCCCCCACTTTGAAGTGGGTCTCCCCTTCTGCAGGGCCCATGGAGGAGGAGTGGGTGGGGTGTGGGGGGCCCAGAGAGAGGTCACTCCTGTTTAGACTAGAGACCAGGGAGGGCCCAGCCACACCTCCCAACAACACCCTGAGTCAGAGGCTGGGGTATAGCAGGAGCTCAGCTGTCAGCCCTGGGGTGTGGTTTCTTCCCAGACCCCCACCAGAGGCCCGTGGAGCCCAGGGAGAGACCTTGGAGGGCAGGTGCGACCCCTGGAGCGCAGCTCTCAGAGCCCTGAGGTTTCCCGGGGGAAAGAGACAAGTGACAAAGTGAGACCACGAGAGAAAAAGAATCGACAGTTTCTACAAAAAGCCCCGCCCTCCCCGAGCACCCTGGTCAGCTGGGGACCACCTCAGCCTTCACCCTTTTTGGGGGTCTGTGGGGTGCAGGGCTGGCGGGCCGCTCCCGTTTGGGGCTGTCGGGCTCTGAGCCGTTGTGCTGGGCACAGGGCTCCTGCTTGTGGCTGGCGGGGACAGAGCCGTTGATCCGGGTGGGGGATTCCTCCTTGGACTCCAGCTTGGGGGCAGGCGGGCGGGGCAGGGGCGGCAGCGCCCTCTCCAGCACACGGGGACCGTCCCAGGGGGGGATCTCCAGCCCGAGGTGCTTCATGAGCCGGGTCATGACTTCGTCAACGTACCCATGGATTCGGAGGTCTGCGTGACGGTCCTGCCGGGAGTTGGGATGGGTCAGGCGTCGGTGGCAGAGGGTGCATGGGAGCCCTGGGCAGGGTGGGCTCAGACACCTACATGCTTGGTGGGCTGCAGATTGACGATGACCAGGCGGCCTCCCCGGCGCTTGGTGGCCAGTGGTAGATTCCCGCTGGGTCGGATCTGCAGCGACGTGCCCAGGGTGATGGACAGGTCGGCGTTCCTGGGGCCAGGGAGTGTGGGCTGAGTCTGATCCCCTCTCCAGCCCCGCTCAGGCCAACATCCCGAGCCGGCCATGGGATCCAGCTCACACCTAGGTCCTCTGTGCTCACCCGGGTGGTCAAGACTGGCCCCACTCCAGAGCCAGGCTTCAGGATCCCACCCCCTCTCCTCTGCTGCCCGCTAGCAGGGTCATTGATCGTTCTGGAGAGAATGGCAGTGTGGTAACAGCTTGGAACCCTAGGGTGGGACCCTGGCTCAGTCACCTCCAGGCTGGGCAGCATTGGCTAGAGGAGTCGCGTGGCTGAAGCTTCTGTTTCCTTGTGCAGCATCCACCCAGAACCATAGTGAGAAGTGTGCGTGTGTGTGTGTGTGTGTGTGTGTGCGTGCAGTCGCTGGCATGGCCCACCTCCTCCAGGAAGCACCCTCTTACTGCCTCTGAGCTGGAGCTCCTGCCCCCATACTGCAGCTGGCTGTATTTCTGCCATCTCCCCAGCCCGCCCCACTGTGGGCTCCCTGGGGGGGTCAGACCTGCTGGCCTCATCGGCGAGCGCCAGGTCCCGGTCCGGCAGGGAGTCCTCCCAGTCTAGGATGGTGTCCCTCAGCTCCCCCCTGCAATGAGGAAGCTGGGAAGAGTCCAAAGGGGCCTCGTAGCCTCCCCTGGAGCCCAGGGCATGGGCAGGGTCGCTCACCTGCAGGCCCGCAGCCCCCTCGCCTTAGCCACGGTGCAGAGCCGACCCGTGGCCTTCAGGCCCATGCTGCCCACGACCGTGTCCCGGACGTACTGCCTGTGTCAGGGAGCAAGGGGAAGGCCGGGGCCGCGTCAGCCCCCAGGGGTGTCTCTTGTGCTGTTTCTAGGGGGACATTCTCCCAGGGAGGCGTTGGGGTGGACAGGTGGCCAGAAGTCAGCAGCGAGCGATGCAGAAGGAGGAGCCTTCCGTGAACATCAGGCCGGGATGCTGCTCAGTGCCCAGAGCACAGAAAACAAAGGTAGGAAAAGGTCCAGGACAAAGGGGCTGGGGATGGGACCCCGCAGGGCATCCCGGACCAGGAGAAACAGAACAATTAGAGCTTGGGGGCAACAGGCTGGGTCTGGATTCAAACCAGGGACTGGAGAAGGCCGTGTCCCCTTTACTTTTCCTGACTTTAACTGTTTTTTTTTCTGTTGTTGTTTTTTTTTTTTTTGAGACGGAGTTTCGCTCTTGTTACCCAGGCTGGAGTGCAATGGCGCGATCTCGGCTCACCGCAACCTCCGCCTCCTGGGTTCAAGCAATTCTCCTGCCTCAGCCTCCTGAGTAGCTGGGATTACAGGCACGTGCCACCATGCCCAGCTAATTTTTTGTATTTTTAGTAGAGATGGGGGTTTCACCACGTTGACCAGGATGGTCTCGATCTCTCGACCTCGTGATCCACCCGCCTCGGCCTCCCAAAGTGCTGGGATTACAGGCTTAAGCCACCGCGCCCGGCGACTTTAACTGTTATACAGGACCAGCCTCCGGGGCTTTCGCCTATAATCCCAGCACTTTGGGAGGACGAGGCAGGAGGATCATTTGAGGCCAGGAGTTGGAGACCACCCTGGGCAACACAGTGAGACCCTATGTGTATAAAAATAAAAAACAGAGGAGAAAAATGGAGATAAGCAGGCCCCTGTAGCTGTAAGCCCAGGACCACCAAGGGGGTCTGGCCGCCGCCGGCAGCCAGGAAGAGGCAGGAAAAATCCTCCCAACAGGTTGCAGAGGGGCACGACCGTGCAGACACTTGGATTTTGGACTTCTGGTTCCCAGAACTGTGAGATCACAAATTTCTATTGTTCTAAGCTGCTCATCTGCAGGGTGCTATGGCAGTGCCAGAACACTGGATGTAACTCCCCAGGAGGAAGGCATGTCCCTCAAATCCCTCCAGGAGGGAGGGATGACCCTCAGACCCTCCAGGAGGGAGGGATGACTCTCAGACTCCCCAAGAGGACAGAGTGATTCTCTGACATCCCCCCAGGAGGAAGGGATAATCCTCACATCCCCGCAGGAGGAAGGGATGACCCCCAGACCCCCCAGGAGAATGGGACGACCCTCAGACCCCCCAGGAGGGTCACACCCAGTTCCCCCATACCCTCTGGGTCTCTGGGACATCAAATTCGACCCCCAACCCCCTCTGACCCGCCCTGGGGAGGGATGGTGGCTGCATGGCCCACCTGGTGCACCCAGCTGGGGGCAGCCAAGACCCCGCCCCGACCCCACGTGGCACTCACGTCTTACACTTGGCACATTCTTCCACGAACATGTTCCCATGAAGCTCTGCCAGTTTGTCCCTGTGAGAGGAGAAGGAAGAGGCTCGATGGTGAGGAGGGTTCCCTGGATGCCCAGGCTTTGGGGCTGGTGCTAAGCCCCTCCTCCAGGAAGCCTTCCCTGACTCCTCTCCCACAACATCAACTTCTTTCTGGCTCTTCTAGCTCCTGGCTCTACCATTCACCTGCTGTGCATCTCTGGGCAAGTGGCCCAACCTCTCTGAACCCAAGAAATCATGAACCCCTGTGGCTGAACCCACCTTAGATGACGGGAAGCCCATTCTACTCACAAAATCCCCGTCCCCCACCAAGAGCATATGGGAATCTCTTGTTGTCACCAGGTCAGAGACCCAGGAATAGGAATTCCCAGTTTATAATGGAAAACACAGAGGCAGAGTGCTAAGGCCCAGGCTCCAGAGGGAGTGAAACCTGAGATCCAATCCCAGCTTCATTTATGTATTTCTTTTTTTTTTTTTTTTTTTCCTAAGACAGAGTCTCGCTCTGCCCCTCAGGCTGGAGTGCAGTGGCACGATCTCAGTTCACTGCAACCTCTGCCTCCTGGGTACAAGTGATTCTCCTGCCTCAGCCTCCTGAGTAGCTGGAATTACAGGTACCTGCTATCACACCTGGCTAATGTTTTGTACTTTTAGTAGAGATGGGGTTTCACCATGTTGGTCAGGCTGATCTCCAACTCCTGACCTCAGGTGATCCATTCGCCTCGGCCTCCCAGAGTGCTGGGATTACAGGTGTGAGCCACCTCGCCCGGCAGCTTTATTTATTTAATTAATTTATTTATCTATTTTTGAGACAGAGTCTTGCTCTGTCAGGAGGCTGGAGTGCAATGGCACCATCTCGCTCACCGCAACCTCTAACTCCCTGGTTCAAGTGATTCTCCTGCCTCAGCCTCCCGAGGAGCTGGGAATACAGGCACCCTCCACCACACCCAGGTAATTTTTTTTTTTTTGTATTTTTAGTAGAGACAGGGTTTTACCATGTTGGCCAAGCTGGTCTTGAATTGCTGACCTCAGGTGATCTACCCGCCTCGGCCTCCCAGAATGCTGGGGTTACAGGTGTGAGCCACCACACCCTGCCCCCCTTTGCTTTTATAAGCAGAGAAAAATTTCTTCCTCGCTCCTCATCCCTGGGTGCCCATCTGCTCCTCTCAACACCCACCTGGCTGTCACTGGTTGCCCCAGGGTGAGGCCCAACAAAGAGAGGCAGGGGAGGGCCACACTTTTAATATGAAACCAGCCTGCCCCACAGTAGTGTTCATGCTCAGTATCACACAAATAAAGGTAGATATTAATAAAGGTGGATACAGGCCGGGCGCAGTGGCTCAAGCCTGTAATCCCAGCACTTTGGGAGGCTGAGGCGGGTGGATCACGAGGTCGAGAGATCGAGACCATCCTGGTCAACATGGTGAAACCCTGTCTCTACTAAAAATACAAAAAATGAGCTGGGCATGGTGGCACGTGCCTGTAATCCCAGCTACTCAGGAGGCTGAGGCAGGAGAATTGCCTGAGCCCAGGAGGCGGAGGTTGTGGTGAGCCGAGATCGTGCCATTGCACTCCAGCCTGGGTAACAAGAGCGAAACTCCATCTCAAAAAAAAAAAAAAAAAAAAAGGTGGATACTAAAAACACAACAGCCGGGTGCGGTGGCTCACGCCTGTCATCCCAGCACTGTGGGAGGCCGAGGCGGGTGAATTACCTGAGGTCAGGAATTCGAGACCAGCCTGGCCAACGTGGTGAAACCCCGTCTCTACTAAAAATATAAAAATTAGCTGGGCATGGGGGTGGGCATCTGTAATCCCAGCTACTCAGGAGGCTGAGGCAATCACTTGAACGTGGGAGGCGGAGGTTGCAGTGAGCTGAGATCATACCATTGCACTCCAGCCTGGGTGACAGAGCAAGACTTTGTCTTAAAACAAAAACAAAAATAAAACTGCAACTTCTAGACCCTGAGAGCTTTCCTCCCCGAGCCCCACCCCAAAGGAAATTCTGCCTCTGACTCCGGTGGGGACAGCTCTGAGCCATGGGACTCAGAAGCCTCCACACAGTAGGACAAGAAAGACCCAGAGAGCTCAGGGCTGGAATCTTAGAGAACGAGGAAAAGGGGACTCTCCCCCTAAAAATGCAAACACGGTTTGTGGAGCCCCAAGCATTCCTGGGGGGCGGGGCCAGGGTGTTACCTGGGGAAGCCGGAGCGCACATGGAGCCCGTCCACGTTCTGGCTGACCAGGAAGCGGAGGAGGCCCACACGTTCCAGCTGCACCAATGCCATGTGGGTCTGCGTGGGCCGCGCGCTCTCAAAGGTGGTGTCGAACTTGGGGGCCAGGCCCCGCTCCTCCATGGTCCAGACTCCGTGGGGACCCCTGAAGGTGGCAGGCGGGGAGAGATGGAGGGGGAGAGGGGAACAGAAAAAGAGAGGGAGAAAATTGGAGAAAGAGAAAATCAAGAGACAGAGTCAGAAAGAAATAGAGGGTACATTTGGAAGAACAGGGAGAGGGAGACAGAATAAGACAGAGATACAACGAGTTAAAGAAATCCAAGTTAGAGACAGAATTGGAGACAGACAGAGGGAGAGACAGAGAGAGAGCGATGAATTCACACGAAGGCAAAAATGACTTATTCAGCTCAACCAACTTTGTTGCTGCTGTCCTGAGCCTGGATGGTCACATGGACCCAAGCCCTGCCCTCCAGAAGTCCTTGATCTTGGGGGAGACAGGTGGACACAGACCCTCTGGCCCCACAGGGTCAAGCCTGGACCAGAGGAGGCACCTGGACCTGGGGAAGCCCAGTGGAGGTGGTGGGGATCCTGGGGCACATGGAAGGGTTCCCTGGAGGAGTCTGAGCACCTCTTGAAGGGTGAGAGGGAGTATCAGACAGAAGGGGTAAACAGACGCCAGGGTGCTGGGAAGAACCTATGAGTTTAGGAGAAAACGCAAGTGTTTTGGGGGCTGTAGCAGGTGCAGGAGGGGCTGACGCTGGAGAGGTGATTCAGGGCTGGGCAGGAAGAAAGGGCTTCAGCTTCCAGCACCAGGAATTCAGAATTCTTACTGCCTGGCAAAGGGGAGCCACAGCAGGTTACGGAAGAAGAGAAAGAGGAGAAATTCACACCTTGGAATTCTGGTTTTTGTTTTTTGTTTTTGCAGCCAGGTGTGATCAGGCCAAGGGGGTGAGTGGAATGCTGGTTGGGACTTCAAGGGACACATCCTAAAGGGAGGGGGTATCACCCATCCCCGCTGCCCAGGACACATCCAGAAGGAAGGAAGATGGATTGGCCCTAATGCCTAGTTGTGTGTGGCTCACAGGGAAGGCCGTGGCAGGCTGGTGGCCCTTGCCTCGATGTCCCCTGCACACTCACAGACCTGAAGTCGGGGATGCCAGAGGCGGTGCTGATGCCGGCCCCCGTGTGAAACACCACATTGGAGGACTGCCAGACCAGCCTCGCCAGCTCCCACACCTTCCGCTCCAGCTCCTCTGGGGGGTCGAAGATCTGTAGGGGAAGGAGCAGATGGAGGGGTCAAAACAGGTCCCGCAAGTGGCAAGGCCATACACGAGCCACAGACTGAGCTGTCCCATTCTTGCCTGGGGCAGGAAAATAGATTGGAAAAGGCAGCTTGTCCTCATGTGCCTCCTCTGCCTACAGCCCTCCATGGCTCCCGCCTGCCTTGTTAAAGCCCTAGCCCTGCCCAAGGCCCACCAGCCCCTGCACTACCTGCCCTGCCCCCTCCACACCCTCTTCTCCTCCCTTACCCCGCCTCACTCACTCTGATCCAGCCCCCCAGGGAGGCCTCCTCCCTCTTCCTCCATCACGCCAGGCACGGTCCTGCTTCAAGACCTCCGCACAGGCTGTCCCCACACCCTTGAGTGCTCTTCCCCCAGATACCCACATGGATGCCTCCTTCACCTCCTGTAACTTGTGGTTCAGAGGTCACTTCAGTGACAGTGACGCCCCCCTTGGCCACCTGGTTTCCATGCAACCCCTAGTCAGTCTCCCTTATTAGAAAGAGGGGTTAACCTGTCTTGCTCCTGACTGTGGCCCCCTTACCTAGAAAGTGCCTGACCCATAGCACGTGCTCCAACAGTGTTGGTGGAATAAAGTGACTAACAGGCCGGGCGCGGTGGCTCTCGCCTGTAATCCCAGCACTTTGGGAGGCCGAGGAGGGCGGATCACGAGGTCAAGAGATCCAGACCATCCTGGCCATGGTGAAACCCCGTCTCTTCTAAAAATACAAAAATTAGCCGGGCGTGATGGCACGTGCCTGTAATCCCAGCTACTGGGGAGGCTGAGGCAGGAGAACTGCTTGAACCTGGGAGGTGGAGGTTACAGTGAGCCCAGATCGCGCCACCGCGCTCCAGCCTGGGTGACAGAGCAAGATCCCGTCCCAAAATAAGTAAATAAATAAATAAAGGGACAGCAGCAGTGAAGAGTGGGGCTTCTGGACAGGCACACACCATCAGCGCTCACTAAATGCAAGACTCGGAATGCATGGGTCAGCCTTTATGGGATGGAGCCACCTTCACCTCGTGTGCAGAGAGGATGGAGATGGAGACCCAGAAGTGAAGTGACTCCCAGAGGGCGCGGAGGGGACAGCGGATCCCTCCACTTCCCCTCCGAGTGGCTGGAGGGATCTTCCTGGCACGTTCTGTCCAGACCCCTCGCCTGGGCAAAACCCTTCTCCATCCCCCTCAGGAGAAAGTGCCAGCTCCCCAGCCTGGTATTTGAGCCCCGTCCTGGCCCGGCTCTGGACACCTCCCCGGCCTAATCGTTCTCCAGGTGCGTTTATTCCACCACCCTGCCTTTGCGTCTGCCGTCCCCTCCTCCGGGAACTACACGCCCCCGCTCTCTCCGATCAGCCCCGGCCGGTGGCCACCGAGTTGGGCGTGTTCGCGTCCCCGGGTGCGCAGGGGTGTCACTTCCCGCCCCTTCCTCACTGGGAAGTCCCTCCCATTGTCTAGCCTCAGTGTCTCCTGATATTCCCACAATGCCCTGCTGCCGTCCGGACCCTCCCGGCCTACGGACCTGGGAGCGACCCTCGGGATCACCGGATACGCTCACCTCGGGGAGGCCGCACTTGCCCTTGTCTGCATACGGCGACAGCCCCGCAGCGTAATTCACCGACATCCTCGCCGCCCCCACGGGAACAATAAAGTTTCGCTTGTTGAGGCCGCTTCCGCCGGAAGCGGGGCGGGGCGGGGAGGAAGGAGGAGCCGCGTTCCTGTTCCGCGAACCCAGCCTCCCTCGGCAAGGCGCATGCGCCGCGTGCAGACGCCGCGGGCGCCATGTTAACTGCTGTCAGAAGGAAGACCCCCTTCTTGGATGCAGGCATTCTCGGGGTTTGGGAAGGGGCTGCCCGATGACCCGAGCGGGAAATTGAGGCGGCCGCCTACTCTCACCCGAGCGGGAAATTGGAGCGGCCGCCTACATGAGAGTCCTCCAGTCACCTCTAAAATGAGGGACACAGGCTATCGATGCCCCCCATAACCCCGTTTTACGTGTTAGTAAATTCCATAAGGACAGTGCCAGGCAGCAGGGACCCCCTAGTCCAAGGGTCTTGAATGCCACCCTGAATTATCTGAAAAAAAAATTTTTTTTTTTGGTAAGACAGCCTCGCTTTGTAGCCCAGGCTGGAATGCAGTGGCGCAATCTCAGCTCACTGCAACCTCCTCCCGGGTTCAAGCGTTTCTCCTGCCTCTGCCTTCCGAATAGCTGGGATTACACACGCCCACCACCGCGCCCAGCTAATTTTTTTTTTTTTTTTCTGATTTTTGTGTTTTTTAGCAGAGATGGGGCTTCACCATGTTGGCCAGGCTGGTCTCGAACCCCTCACCTCAGGTGATCCACCCGCCTCGGCCTCCCAGAGTGGGGATTACAGGCGTCAGCCACCGCGCTGGGCCAAGTTATCTGAATATCATACAAGTGGAGGTTCTGAATTTTGCAGGACAGGTCCTGCTCATGGTCACTGGGGCTGGTGGCCTGGAGGACTTATTTAAGAATCATGTGTTGAGCACCTACTGTGCACTGGGCACACTGGGGAACAAAGATGGTACCGTCCCTGCCCTGGTGGCTGGGGGTGGACACAAAGATATGACCAGGTAATGGTGACATGGTGTGGTTGCAGTGCAATGGGGGATGCAGAGGGCACAGGGCAGCGAGGGGGCTCACGGGAGGGCTTCCTGGAGGAGGGGATGTTGCAGCAAAGATCTAAAGAGTGCATGAGTCAGGTAGAGCCAGTTGGGAGTGACTTGAAATATAGAAAGAATGTTACCGGTGGGGGAAACAGCGAGTGCAAAGGCTGAGAAGACAGGAAGAGCGTGGCTCCTTCCAGAAACTGAAATCAGTCCAGTGATGATAGGGAAGATCGTGGGTGTCTTCCCGCCAGAGCCAGTTGGCCAACAGGCAATCCGCTGCCAGCCTGTCTCCTCCCTCGGCTCATCCCCAGCCCCCTGGGGCGGCCGCCCGCTCAGAGCTGATCAGGTGTCAGAGTGGAGCGGCTGGAGCTTCTCGGGGCCCAGCTGGGAGTGGGTAAGCGGAGCCGGCAGTGGGCACTGTGGCCGGGAGCTCGGGGCACTGGAGCTGCAGGAGGTAGGGGAGGAAGGAGGTGGGAGAGGCCCAGGTTGGAGGTTCCCTTAGGGCCCCAGGCCCCTGAGCCCTTGTGTGTGGGAGAAAGAAGCCATGCTGGGTCCCAGCCGGGATTCTGAGCTGCCCAGGCACCCCGACACACACATGCACTCGTTCACGCACGCACTTCCCACTTGCCGGCCTGTGCCCTGCCTAGCATCCTCCAAGGCGGGTGCTCAGCATCCCACCTGGACATCAGGCCCTTCTTATTTACCATCACCTCTTCCAGCAAACAGCTCCCTAAATTTAGCATGTGTTTCTCCCTCCCCCAAGCCCACGGATTGTCTTCTCCCAAGCAGCCTGTGAACTCCTGTCTTGGGTATCTTATTACCCCCTGCTTTGGGTGTGATTGAATCCTCCAGTCAGGGATAGAAGAAAAAAGGGTAGGTGGTGAGTGGATGGGTGGGTGAATAGATGGATTGATGGATGGGTGGATGGATGAGTGGGTGGAGGGATGGATGAGTAGATGCATGGGTGAAGGGACAGGTGGATAGGTGGATAAATGGATGGATTGGTGGTTGGGTGGTTGGGCAAATCGATGGAGGGTTGGATAAGTGGATGGATGGATGGATGGATCCATGGATGGATGGGTGGATGGATGGACAGGCGGGTGCGTGGGTGGATGAATGGATTGGTGGCTGGGTGGATGGATGGAGGGATAGATAAGTGGGTGGATGGGTGGATAAGTAGATGTGTAGGTGGGTGGATGGGTGATTGGGTGGGCGAATGGATGGATGGGTGGAGGGATTGATGGTTGGGTGGATGGAGGGAGGGAGGGATGGATGCCTGGATAGATGGATGGATAGATGGATGGATTTGTGGTTGGGTGGATTGATAGGTGGATGGATGGGTGGATAGATAAAGGGATGGATCCATGGATGGATGGGTGGATGGATGGACAGGTGGGTGGATGAATGGATTGGTGGTCGGGTAGATGGATGGAGGGATAGATAAGTGGATGGTTGGGTGGATAAGTAGATGGGTAGGTGGGTGGGTGGGTGATTGGGTGGGTGAATGGATGAATGGGTGGAGGGATTGATGGGTGGATGGATGGAGGGATGGATTGGTGGTTGGGTAGATAGATAGGTGGATGGATGGGTGGATGAGTGAATGGGTAGGTGGGTGGGTGGGTGATTGGTTAGGCAGATGGGTGGAGGGATTGATGGTTGAGTGCATGGAGGGAGGGAGGGATGGATGGATGGATGCATGGATAGATGGGTGGATGGATGGATGGATGGATGGATGGATGGATGGATGGATGGATGGGTGGATGGATGGATGGATGGATTGGTGGTTGGGCAGATGGATAGGTGGATGGATGAGTGGATGGATGAATGGTGGCAGATGGTGGGTGTTTGTGCGGGTGGTGGGTGGATGGATGCATGGGTGAAGCCTAATTAAAGGGTGATAAAGAACCATGAGCCAGGCGCGGTGGCTCAAGCCTGTAATCCCAGCACTTTGGGAGGCCGAGGCGGGTGGATCACGAGGTCGAGAGATCGAGACCATCCTGGTCAACACGGTGAAACCCCATCTCCACTAAAAATACAAAAAATTAGCTGGGCATGGTGGCGCGTGCCTGTAATCCCAGCTACTCAGGAGGCTGAGGCAGGAGAATTGTCTGAACCCAAGAGGCGGAGGTTGCGGTGAGCCGAGATCGCGCCATTGCACTCCAGCCTGGGTAACAAGAGCGAAACTCCGTCTCAAAAAAAAAGAACCATGAAACTTGAATCGGGTGGGTGAGTTAGTGGGTGGTGGCCAGTGGGTGGGTGTACAGTGCTTGGGTGGGAGGTTGAATGCCCAGGTGAGTACATAGGTGGTAAATGGGTGGAAGGGTGGCTTGGAGAATTCACAAGTAGGTAGGTGGACAGGTAGAGGCCATCCCAACCCCTACTCCCTGGTAAGAGTCAAATATAGATTCTCATTCACAGAGATCCCTTTCAGACATAGGACCCCAGAGTCACACTCCTTAAAAAACATACCCCCTCGAGATATTCCTGCCTGACCTCTGTGCCTGCACATGCTGAACATAGAACAGGCCCAGGTTGACAGATGTGCATGTGTGAACATGCCCCATGCTCACATCACGCGCATGCATGCAGCCATCGTCCCAGACCATCACCCACTATGGGTGAATTGCTGTCAGTCACACAGAGGCCACACCGGTGTGAAGGGGCTTAGCTGTGTGGAGGTTTTCTCTGACTGTCTAGCAAACATGCCTCTGTGCTGAGAGCCATCAGCCCTGGGTTCAGTCCCTAGGGATCCACTGACTGTTGAAAAAGACAGAATCAGCCCAGACCCTTCCAGCCCGTGGAGCCAGGGGTGAGGCAGAGGAAGACACCAAACCGGGGTAGGCGGGAACCCAATTTGGTGAGTTAGATCTCTGCTTCTGAACCAGAGGCAAAGCTGATCAGGGCAAGGGATTTTGGAACTGGGCTTTGGAGGATGAGTAGGAGTTCAGAGAAGTACAAAGAACCCATTCTAAGCAGAAAT